AAAAGAGCGATACTTTCAGCTATCGCCAAACTGTTTGACCCGCTCGGTTGGCTCGCTCCAGTGGTAATTGTCGCCAAGATCATTATGCAAAATATTTGGTTGGAGGGAACTGGTTGGGACGATACCGTGTCTCCGACCACATTAGATCGTTGGCAGGCATTTATGCACGACTACATGGACATTAATACCATTCGCATACCAAGATGGGTTCACTTTACGCAAACAGATGACGCCGAAATACATGGATTCAGCGACGCTTCGGAGAAAGCATACGCGGCGACTGTTTTCTTGAGAGTTAAGACTGCGGAAAGAGTTTTTGTCAGCCTTCTAATGGCAAAAACAAAGGTAGCGCCCGTCAAAACAGTATCGTTACCCCGTTTAGAAGTTTGCGGCGCAGCTTTGCTTTCGGAAACCTTAGAAGCGGTCGTCTAAAATCTGAGTCTTGGACATTTGAAAATAAATCTCTGGACAGATTCGACAATAGTTCTAGCATGGATCCGGAAACCACCGTGTTCGTGGTCAACTTTCGTTGCTCACCGAATGAAAAAAATTTTAGACAAGGTGGGAACCGAAAACTGGCGTCATGTGGATTCGGCATCAAACCCGGCAGATCTGGCGAGTAGAGGACTTTCGGCTAGTGAGCTAGTCAACAACTCCTTGTGGTGGCAGGGTCCTTCTTGGTTACAAGAAGACAAGTCAAAATGGCCAGCACAAGAAGCGAACTACGACACAGTCATAGAGGAAAAAAGGGTGCAAGTTCACGCAACAACTAGCACAAATAACTTTGAAATTCTCGACAGATTTTCAGATTTCTCAAGAGCTTTGAGGGTCATCTCATATATTATGAGATTCTATCAAAAAACCCACCTCAGTACAAAATCTTCTTTTAAAGCGGAGTCTTCATTAATTTCGCCGGCCGAGATTAAAACAAGGACACAACGCTTAATAACCATTTATCAACAACGACACTATAGAGAAGAATATGAACAATTGAAATCAGGTAAATCCATCCAAGCGAAAAGCGAAATTTTGCCCCTTAATCCATTCATCGACAAGGGTGATGTTATGAGGACTGGTGGTCGTCTTGGCGCATCCCTTGACTTGGCCTACAGTGAGCGCCATCCAATTATTCTCCCATATGATTGCAGGTTAACTCGGCTTATTGTCCAGTTCGTCCATAAAATCTCCTTACACGGGGAAAACCAACTGATGCTGCGTCTTATACGTATGCAATACTGGATCCCGCGAGTAAAAAATATTATACGGTCCATCATCCACAATTGTAAGGTCTGCATGATCTACAAGAAACGGTCACAAACCCAGCTTATGGGGAATCTTCCAACCGAATGCACTACATTTTCGCGTGCGTTCACAAACACCGGCGTAGATTTCGCGGGGCCTTTTGACATTCAAACCTACCGCGGTCGAGGTTGTCGTCTGTCAAAAGGATACGTTTGTCTCTTCGTCTGTTTTTCGACTAAGGCCATCCACCTGGAAGCCACTAGTGACCTTAGTACTGCTTCTTTCCTAGCAGCATTTGCCAGATTTATTGCTAGACGAGGGTGCCCAAAGAATATTTACTCCGACAATGGAACTAACTTTGTCGGAGGCTCTCGGTCTTTGCGATCCGAATTTAAAACCTTCGTGGCCGACTCGCGCAATCAAGCCCTTTCTAAATACTGCCACCAAGCTCTAACGTGGCATTTTATACCCGCAGCAGCCCCTCACATGGGTGGACAGTGGGAAGCAGGGGTTAAAAGTTTTAAGAGCCACTTCAAAAAGGTCGCGTCGGACCACAAATTCACTTTTGAAGAGTTTAGTACTCTTCTATGCCGGGTTGAGTCTTGTCTCAACTCGCGACCACTTAGTCCATCATCCAACGAACCAGCAAACTTGGAGCCGATTACCCCAGGATNGTTGAGTCTTGTCTCAACTCGCGACCACTTAGTCCATCATCCAACGAACCAGCAAACTTGGAGCCGCTTACCCCAGGATACTTCCTTGTTGGTGGGCATCTACTTGCCCCACCAGAAATCAACGTAAACGAGACTCGGGCCTCTATCGTAAACCGTTGGGATAAATTGAAAGCATTACACCAAACTTTCTGCAGAAGATGGAAATCGGAGTACCTGACCGAGATGCAAAAACGCGTCAAGTGGAAACATCCACAAGCCAATTTGAAACAAGGGGACCTAGTCGTCATTAATGAATGGAGACTTGGAAGAATAGCCAAACTACACCCTGGTCCAGACAACAGAATACGTGTAGTTGACGTTGATACGGCAAAGGGCCAAACTACAAGACCAATCGCAAAGTTGATCCTGCTCCCGCCCTGCAACGAGGGAGTCGAGATTCGGAACACTTAAAGTTAAGATGAACCCCGTTCCCCGCATTAAAAAATCCTAATCTTAATACCTGGATACCATATCCCATTATGAGCTGCATTTTGCGTAACCTTTGGACAGAATTTGTTCGATTCAGTTTAAGTCAATTTGTTTGGAAAGTGCTTATTTAACAGCATTTACCGCTTTTAAAACAACAGAACGTTGAACTTTCAAACGCGACGCAAATTGGCAGATATTCTCATCAATTAACGCATTATCTGGCAAATTTAGTCTACAAAGTTTTTTTTTTTCGTCATCGAATTTCATACCTGCATATCAACCAAAAATATAACAGGGTTGTTAATGCAACAAAAAAAACTCTCCAGTGAGTTAATTCGGCAGAATGCGTTGTCACAGAGAAAAATATGCTTGAACGCAAAACCAGTAACAATTTGCAATTTTCATGAAAAGCTGATAAATTTTTGGTTTATCGGTAGCAAATTCCTATTAAAACAGTATTTCAAATCTTACTTTATATTTGTCAACTTCAAAGTTTCCTTATTAGTCTCAATTGTTCCCAGCCTGCAAGTTTTTACTGGCAAAAAATTTCCCAGCCTGAGTTTGCAACTTCCCCTCCGAATGAAAGGTCAAACTTGAACGCGATTTGGTAACAACTTGTACAAGTTTCTACAAGTTATTTGCATAGCGAACCGAACTATGAACATCCAAACCTGGTTAATTTTTTGCAACCTTTGAAAATTATTTGGTACAAGAACAGACATAATAACTTTATAGTCTAAGACGCTTGCTGCATTTGCAAAGTTTTCATAAACGACTGCAAATCTCACTTTTTAATAGGTTCATAAGACATAAACGTATGTGTGAATGTCGATGCATATTCGTGGGTGTATGGGTAGACATATGCATATATTCTATAATACACCGGAAAAGAAATTTCAGTAGCTTTAGACAAATAAGACTAGCAAATCATTCCAAGAAAAACTGGTAAAAGCTGTTACTAAAATTTAAACTATGTTGTATAAAGGCAATTATCGTCATAAACACTAAGGCTGATTAGCACTATTAAATTTGAGCAAGTGTTAGTGACTAAGGCAACTAAGCAATGTTTTTAAATATTTCGACTTTTAATCATCCCTTAGTACGCACCCAGCAAAAATTTGAGCCATATATTAAAAGCGAGTTGTTTGCATCTTAAGAAAGGCTCTTTCGCATTAAGACTCGTACCTTTCTCATATATAAACATGTGTATGTACATAAACATAAATATAAGCAAGTACATATGTAAGTTTTTGAAGATTGAGTGCACGAATCGAAATGTATATTTAATACTACATCACATAAGTGTGTATCTGGTTTTTCACTGCCACGAAAATACCTATTTAAACAAGGGATGTCATATTTAAGAAAAACAAATTCACGCATATTGTTCGCTGCGATTGTACATTTTCCGCAAGCTAATTTTATAAATTATTTTTACCTAAAGTAAATAAACGTGCAAGTAAAAATGACCGATCCAGGTCAATGGTATAAGCAGTTACCTCGTCTCACACGCTACTGGCTAACAGCCACGGTTGTGCTCAGTTTGCTGACCCGCTTCGATATATTGCCCTTAGAATCAGGGTACCTAAGCCGCGATGCCGTTTGGGGGCGCTTGCAATTATGGCGCTGTGTTACCGCCTTATTCGTCTACCCGCTGACATCAGCGACGGGATTCCATTTCCTCATCAATTGCTACTTCATCTCGCGCTACATAGCGCAGCTGGAAAAGGAGCAATTTGGGCGCAGCCTAGCTGATTACCTCTACATGTTGCTGATAGTTGCCGTGCTAGCTCATATTGGTGGCATGTTATTTAATGTATATTTCCTCATGGACCTGTTGGTGGTATCAACAACAAACATTTGGTGCCAACTAAATAAAGATGTTATTGTAAACTTCTGGTTTGGCACACGACGTAACGTAGACGTAGGTTGATGCAGACACGATCTACCTTATGGGATTCGCGTGTTAACGAAAACTCACCACCGCATGGCGGTGACGTTGCCGTTGCTTCTATCTCTCTCTCCATCAACAGTAAATTGTATATGCCGCTACGTACGTCAACCTACGTTTACGCTGCGTCGTTGACTAACTGCGCTTTTAAAGCTGTCTACTTACCGTGGGTGTTAGTGATTATGGAGCTAGTATTCCAAGGGTCGATTGCGTCGTTAATTGGCACATTTATTGGACACTTCTATTACTTCTTTAAATTCCAATATCCACAAGAATTTGGTGGCGGTTGGGTTCGTGTTTGTAGAGGTAACGGGCAACTAATCCTCTGTAGAACTTTTTCACTCTTATACGAATTGCTCTATATGCTTCGAGCGCTGCTACGAGGTTGCCGTGAACATTGGTTGTAGGGCCGCTTACATACACAGGGGAAGTTTTGTCTGCAAACGTACGGCAGTATGGTGACTACATAATGCTGAAGCCGATGGCAAGCATTTGTAATATAAATTAGCAGGGGCGGCCTGCATCTTTCGGTAGATATGCGGAATGTATTATGCTATTGGGTGCCTAGATGCCAAGATGCAAACGGACGTAATTTAATCAAAGAATTAAAATTTTTCTTTGCACATTGATTTGCTGCATAATTGCAACATTCGTTGAAAGCTTTATGCCCACCTTTCTGTGGTATTCAACCATTTAGTGCTTCAGCAATGTGATCACCAATCAACTGGCTCAACTTGGAAGTCATCCCAGGATCTGAAAGGAAAAGCAATAATTAATTAATAAATAATACTAAAAATGGCACTACTTACCCCGTTTCTGGCCTCTTGTTCATTGTGGAAATGATTAATGTCGGCCGCAACTAACTTCAATGAAATGTCAACAAAGAACGTAAATTGTAGTTTACGCTATTTAATGACAACACCGTCGCCCTCTACCGGGCATGAGGTTGGAACGGGACCATTCAATTAAACACAATTATTTCTGAATCGGGTTAGTGAAGTTTCGCACCATTATGAAAAATAATGGGATTTTTTTTCTTTTGGGTAGGAGGCTAAGGTGCTTTATAATAAAACACCACAATAATGTTTTCACCCCTTTTCTTCGATATTGGCGAATTATTCTGTCAGTATACACTGCGTGGCATTGAATTAGCCCCGAATGAATTATGAAGTTTAAAATGATTAAGTTTATGCATCGATATAAAGCAAATAAAAAATTAGAAATGGAAACTCACGAAATAAGATAATATGCATGTCTCCCCATACATATACATATATTCTCATCTATATTTTTTCTTGCGCGCGAGTGCCTTAAATTCCAAGGGCACCAGCGCGTAAATATAACACTGGGACGCGCTCAATATCACGAACGCCACCTAGAAAAATCCTGAATAGCAGTACAGTAATGCTACGGCCACACCAGGCACTTCATAGGGAATTTATAATGCTGGAGTTAGACGCATGTAAATATTTTATGTAAAATTTCTATACATATGTACGATAGCAAATGCACGAATACCCACCACTTGCCGCCCAACCATAATAAATTCAAAGCCAAACAGAATTTTGGTCAACCAAATACTACCAATTGCAGAATGACCCGATTCTCAGCCCTGCGCTCTAAAACTGAGAGGAGCTCGGAGGAGTTTCCAATCGCTTGTCGCTTGTGCGACAAAGACCACGGCATAAGACTTTGCCCCATCTACCGCGGTAAGACGGCAGAAGAACGACTGCGAGCGTTCCTCATACACCGCTACTGCCCGAACTGCCTCTCGCCATTCCACCGTCTGGAAAATTGTGCTAGCGCCGACAGATGTCACAGGTGCCGTGAGAAGCATCATACTTCGCTCCATATCGAGACCAACTATAATTGGAGGCAGCCAGCACGCAATATAGAGGATGATGACAACAGTTTGCAGGGTGCCTTATCCATCCACATAGAAGAACCTTATAAGTCATGGGCTCAGCAGGTCGAGGAGGCAGAGATGGACGAAGCTACGACTGAGGGCGCTCCTNCCAACGATAATTGGAGGCAGCCAGCACGCAATATAGATGATGAAGACAACAGTTCCCAGGGTGCCTTATCCATCCACATAGAAGAACCTTATAAGTCATGGGCTCAGCAGGTCGAGGAGGCAGAGATGGACGAAGCTACGACTGAGGGCGCTCCTGTAGAGGTAAGTGGGGGCTCGGAAACTCGTTCTTTCCGACCACCACTCGAACATGAGAAACGAAGGGAGAGCAGCTCTGCAACCTGGTCCTTCAGACAGCCTGCCCAGTCCCAATCACAGCATGCGGGTGGCTCGGGAACTAGTTCTTTCCGACCGCCCCCATATCCCAACGGTAAGAGTCGTGATGGCGCGGAAACTGGTCCTTTCCGCTTGTCTCGACGGAAGACTGTTGGGAAAGCACCATATCGCCGACCACAAGAGCAGAACCGAGAGCAGAATGCGGCTCTGGCCGTGCGACGACTGGGGTTTCGAACAGGTCGCATAAACAACAGTACTATGGCTACACCGATATTACGCTCTTTTCAGCCGATTGCACCGACCGCCATCGTTCGAATCGAGTCTGGTGGCCGCCTGCACCTGGTCCGCGCAATAATTGACCCCTGCGCGCCCAGCACGGTAATCGACGCTAGTCTAGCGCGGGACCTACAATTGGAACACGGAGGTTCTGGACGAAACCGGAGATGCTCGCTCGCACTTAGAGGAAAATACGGTCTCGCGGAACGCGTAACAACTCAGGCGACAATCGTGGCACAACACAACCGATTGAGCCCGGCAACGGACATCGACCCCGTGGCTGCCCCGCCTTTTCAGTTTATGCGGTGGGCGATCCAAATTTTTACCGGGCTACCCCGATCCGTCTGACTCTAGGCGTCGATGTATACGCCCAGGTCATGCTGACAGGAACCCCCCCCCAGGCAACCATATTTGGGTTAGTGGTTTCCGGGGCTTACCAAAAATAAAAACAATTTAGAGTGCTTAGTTGATTAATACACGCAATAAAGTGAGTTGAAAATCAAAACCACGTCCATTTTTTTCTTTTAACTCTCTTTAATTTCCCAATAGCTATCTAGGAAGAGGCGGTGCAACCTGGGCGTGACAAGCGAGAACTAAGTGCAACCTGGAGCACTTCCAGTCTCTAGTGGTTACCGTCAAACTTATTATCTTTTCTGACGTGGCATGGTGGGTACCTTCCGTATTCCGTTTTCATAGTTTGCTTATAGCAAGGGGGCGGTATGCTTAGGCCCATACCTAAATATTCTGCACCACCCTAATGCGCGTTAAATAATTTTGCATCTGAGTGCACACACACATATATAAGATACGGCTAACATTCCAGCCGTTAATAATATGCCCCGCCGTACGGTAACTGAGTTGAGGGGAAACTCAACGAAGGTTACTGTTGGGCGGGCTCAAACCCTTTTTCGTTTGTTGGCACTCCGTCACTTCCTAGAAGACCAGCAGAGCGACTGCCAGCCACCACACCACGTCAGCAAGGCAATCTCATTAAGCTATTAGCAAAATCTATATTTAAATTCACTCTGTTTTATTAAACATTTTTTCTCAACAAATAAAGCAAACATTTGTTATTATTGTTAACCATTAAACACTAATACGCTGTTGTATTTTGCACTTATTTTCTTTACGTGCGAGCGCCTTAAAAATTCCAAGACGCCGGCGCGTAAATACCGGGGAAACATGAGAGAGTAAGAAGGGTTAAGTATACACATATGTACATCAAGTACATAAGATGATAAGTATGTAGTGACAGTAAATATACAGAGGTAAGTATATACAAGTGTAAGAGATAGTAAACATGAAGTAAAAGCTAGAAAGGTAAGTAGATCGAAAGTAAGTATATATGTAAATATTTGCATAAATACGAAATTAAATAGAATATATATATATATATATATATATATATATATATATATATATACATGCTCGTTTCTATTCAAATACATTTCATATTTAAATTTTTTTTTTGTATAGTTATTGTATATAGTTCTGCTTCGACAACGACACTTGATAAACGCAACGCAAACAGCTGTGACAAGAATTACTAGAAGAAGTAAACAAAAAGAGTAGAACAAATGCGCAAAAACAAATCGATTTCAGTTAACTCCAAAGGATGCAACAACTATGATAGCAACAAATGACTCGGCCAGAATAGAATGTATGCTAGTGAAATTTAATTAAATTTATAATAATTTAATAGATTGGCGCTTACACATATGTTAGTTGTTGTGTAGCTGGCTGTTCGGGCAGAGGAAAGTGGCAGGTTGGCATGCTTGTTGGCCCAGGCTAGCTCGACGGCCCAATGGGGGGGTTGTTTGCCACTTCTCTACCTTCAGCTACAACAAACAAAAATTTTCTGTCATGCCAATATAAAAAAAAAGGAGAAAATGGAAGCCTGTCCCGGTCAGTTGGAGCCATCCCACCCCTTCTAAGTGCCGACGGCACTTAGCCTTGAGTTCCGCCGGAGCTCCTAGTTCATCATGCGAAACCCCCTTTTCCTGACCTAGTCCGTCAGTCAAACGTTTGTCACCTGTTAAATCGTCATGTCACCTGTAATATACCCACGTCCCCTCCGTGTTGCGCCTAAGCAGCACCCACACCAACCTGAAAATTCCTAGCATTCCATATTAAATAATAATACTATGTTCAACCGAATTTCATTAGAATACACATTCATTTATTAAATTGAATCAAAACAAAACCTAACACATAAAACTCCTC